CCTAATGATACTGTTAATTTACCGAGGAAGGAGAATCGACACTGTACACAGAACGAGGGAAAACTATTGCAAAATATGACCTAGCACTGCCAAAATGTGTCAGCATTGTCATTCAGTTTTTGGCACTTACTCCCTCCAGATTTCTGGCTATTTGTCCCTGTGCAATTCTCATTTAAGAAGTGTATGTAAACAAATAAAACAGTAGGTAGCAAAAATACTCTATAGATTTTTTAATGTTATAATCTGAACATCTTATTCTAGAATATACACCTGGGCCACTTTTGCACATTACACTACAATAAACCATAGCTTAGCACAAACACAGTGGCTCTGGAGTATGTTCTCGGCTACAGATCTTGGTTAAGAAGGAGAGATCTTAAACATGACCAGGCTTCAGACAACACACTAAGCCAAACCTTGGCTTAACTACCATCCCACACTGAGATGAAATGCCCAGGAAAAAGCAAAGCAGGCACGTTCTCTTCTATGGGAGCCGGCACACTTTTGCAGTTGCAAAATTTTGGCTTACCATGATGTGTGAACCAGGCCATAATGTCAGTGAATCTGAGTGTGGAAGGTTTAAAATGATCGAACTCAGTGATTCTTAACTAAGGCCATAAGCTCCCCCAGGTAGTGACCTATAAATTTGAGGGGAGCATTCAAGGGAGAACAAATGGAAGACATCAAGACTTTGAGGCAGTCCCTTGAAATGGCTTCTGGCAGCTAGAAGAAGAGAATTAAACCTCCTTTAGGATGAAATCTCATATCCTAGTTGCACATGGTGAAGAGGAATTAAACAAGATTGCTCCCTTCCTGCTAGGGGCTAAAGACCAAAACAAACAAAAATAATCCATCAATTTACAAACATACTAAGAATGGAAAAAGGAGAAACAAGTTATCAGAAAAATGCCAATCAAGCTCAAATAAAGACTGGCTCCTTTTTAAGAATGGAAGAGCCTGCTGGATCAGACCAAAAGCTTATCGAGACACGCATCCCGTTCTCACAGTGGCCAACTAAATGCCTGTGGAAAACCCGCAAACAGGACCTGACACTCTCCCATCCTGTGGTTTCCAGCAACTGGTTTTTCCCTTCTCTGCGTACAGGGTGCAAGAAAATACCACCTCATTATTTCCTATTTCCTTACCTCTGCCATCTCTGCATTCCATTGGCCAAGATGAATTACAGGACCATCTATTTAGGCTTACTTGGGGCAGCGGGGGCAGAGAGGGGATTCAGTGATGATGTCATGTATTTTTGGTGGGTGGCAGTAGATTAAAGGCTAAGAACCACTGCTCCAACTTAACCCCTCATGTTGTCACCAATTACAAATTAACCCTATCAAGAAGACTATACAGTTCAACAACCGTTGCGCAGCAACAACAAAGTGACTCAACTTTGGAGGTGTACGCACAGTCCAAAGCACATAATAGTGGTTTGACTGCTTAAGACAGAGATGGGGAACTTGGTAAAAATCAATATAGAACCATTTTGTGCGCACACACACAAAAGTATGCACACACACACACATAATTAGCTACTATGTTATATGATTCCATTTATATTATTTCTATACTGTATCCCATTATACATTTATACCCCACCTGCTAACACAGGCACAGGCAAACTCCAGCCCTCCAGATGTTTGGGACTACAATTCCCATTATCCCTGACCACTGGTCCTGTTATCTAGGGATGATGGGAACTGTAGTCCCAAACATCTGGAGGGCCGGAGTTTGCCTATGCCTGTGCTAACTCAAGGCAATTACAATGCCTTGGATCCTAATTTCTAACGAGCAGAAGTCAGCTCATGGAATATATCTGCAAGTGGCAATGGGGATGGGAATTTTTGCCACTTCCTTATTTCCCATACAGTCCTTGTGCCCTCTGGAAATCTGATCCAGAGGATTGGGGAAACCCCACCAGCAACATGACTGCTAGAAGCTGTCGGGGCAGGGGACAGGAATATGTGGAAACTGTCTCCTTTTAAGCATGCAAGGAAAGAATGACCCACAGTCTTGAGTATTTCTCAAAAAACCGGTATCTGCACTGTGTGGATCAATACATATCTACAAAAGCTGCCTCTGCCGCCTCCATGAAAATTACCTCCTCCTCCCATTCCAAGCCAATTTTGGTTTGGAGAAGCCAGCGCATCTTTGATGCACTGTCTTCCCTCCTTGCCGAAGCCCACTCCTGGGCATCTGTCTCTTTGTCTAATTTGCAGCATGACAGCTAAGAAAGTGACAAAGATAGAACAATCAGATCTGAGCACAACAGCGCAGGATGTGACAAATAAGAAAAATAGGAAGGTAGAAAATGCAACTGTCTCTATACTAATAATGCGAGACCCAAATGGAAGGAAGAATGGGGAATGAAAATAACTTCCGAGCAATGGGTCACAATGAACCTCCACCTCCCCTCCTCATGTCAAACATCGGAGGGGACAAACGCACCCTCATGCCAATATAAGGAATATTCCTTGCAACTGAGAACAGCACGCAGGCACTGGCCCTCAGCCAGTCACAGCAGGGACCTTATAGCTGAAGGGAGGCAGGAAAACTGCTGTGAAAGCTGAGGAACATGTGCTCTGAACTCAATTGCAAACCCCCCAAAAAATAATAATTTTCAAGGCAAGGGAGTAATAGTTGGGACCAGAGGAGCAGAGAGAGGCAAGTGCCCTCCAAGACAAGTAGCTCACTATGCCTCACCCCCCATTGTTGGACTCTTCTCATTACTTAGAAGGAAAGGCACATTTCATATACAAAGTATAAGCATTAGCATACACTAGAAATTCAAAATATCTGAAGCATGATTACTTGAAAGTCAATAGGGATTACTGACAAGAAAATATATTCAGGATGGGAGAGTTAAAGTAATGTATGCCATTATTTCTGTTTCAGAAATCCCACCATGTGGGACACAACTCACCTCATTCCCTGAAATGCATTTTGCCCGTTCTATGCACACCTCAAAATTTTTTTTTTGAAAAATTCAGGTGTGGATCGCAGTTGCCCTTCATCACCAAAAGGTGGGAAGCAAATTAATTTATCTAAGAGGATGGTTTCCTTTTGGTAAAGGTAAAGGTAAAGGTACCCCTGCCTGTACGGGCCAGTCTTGATAGACTCTAGGGATGTGCGCTCATCTCACTCTAGAGGCCGGGAGCCAGCGCTGTCCGCAGACACTTCCGGGTCACGTGGCCAGCGTGACAACGCTGTTCCGGCGAACCGGCACCAGAGCAGCACACGGAAACGCCGTTTACCTTCCTGCTATAAAGCGGTACCTATTTATCTACTTGCACTTAAGGGTGCTTTCGAACTGCTAGGTGGGCAGGAGCTGGGACCGAACGACGGTCACCCCGCCGCGGGGATTCGAACCACCGGCCATGTGATCGGCAAGTCCTAGGCGCTGAGGTTTTACCCACAGCGCCACCCGTGTCCCTCTTCCTTTTGGTAAAAGGTAAAGGTACCCCTGCCCGTACGGGCCAGTCTTGCCAGACTCTAGGGTTGTGCGCTCATCTCACTCTATAGGCCGGGAGCCAGTGCTGTCCGCAGACACTTCCGGGTCACGTGGCCAGCGTGACATCGCTGCTCTGGCGAGCCAGAGCCGCACACGGAAACACCGTTTACCTTCCCGCTAGTAAGCGGTCCCTATTTATCTACTTGCACCCGGGGGTGCTTTCGAACTGCTAGGTTGGCAGGCGCTGGGACCGAACGACAGGAGCGCACCCCGCCGCAGGGATTCGAACCGCCAACCTTTCGATCTGCAAGTCCTAGGTGCTGAGGCTTTAACCCACAGCGCCACCTGCGTCCCTTTCCTTTTGGTAGCAAGCACTAAATTCAGGGACTTGGTTTTTCTATATATTTTACGTTCAGTATTGTTGCACAGTTGTAGCATCAAAATCCATTTCCAAAGCAAGTGCAATCTAAAGACGTGAGGATTCGGAATCAAATCATGTTTTTATGAGCAGCTGAGTGCACCTGCAGTCATCTGATTAGAGACCTAGCAGCTACCAGCAAGCAGGTGAGGCATGGACTTCCTTCATATAGATTAACTATACTTAACATATACATATAGACTAACTATATACTGTATTTGCAAATCACACTACTGTACTAAACACCTGCATGACCAGAACTTGGTGATCTCTAATTGAGCAAAAACCCGGAAGGTGCAACCATGTGTGTTTTAAACCAGGACCACTGAAAAACAGGAGGCGCTGCTGTTGTTTCAGGGAAGAATTGGGGCAGTCTGTAGAGTAAGTAAAATGAGCAGGCTTTTGAAGAGCCACACTCCCAAGGGAAGGGAAGGGGGCCCAAAACTTTAAAAGTGGCAGGTGTCATTTACCATGTCGGGAAGGGGGGGGGCAAGTATAGCCACGAGACCACATTCTTCATCATCATTATTGTTTTTGTTGTTATTTTAGACAACCAGTCTTTAGACACAGAATGATCAAACCGCGGTAGGCAACCTTTGCAAAGGAAAGAGAGAGAGCTCGGTACTGGAGAGGGGGCGTTATTTATTGCTGGTAAATTAATCCAGAGTGGAAAAATATAAAGCTATTTGTGCAGATTTTCACAGATCCCAGTTCAGGATCATTATGCACCACTCCCCTCCCAGGGAATAACAAATTGCTAAACTAAGGATGCCATCGCACTTGGGGGGCAAGTGCCGCCGAACCCAGCAAGGCTTACTTCCGAGTAACCCTGCAAGGGCGGTGAGGAAAGCATCCGTTCTGTTAACCCTGCTGGTGCATATACTATACAGTATTGGAAGCGAGTATTGGAAGCTCGCTCGCTCGCTCGCTTGCAATGGCCAGCTGCTCCTCCACCAGCCCTCCCATCTCTCCCGAATATCCCCGCCGACCCAGAGGGCGAGCTCCTGCGGCGCGACATATAGGACCCACCCCCTTCTCTCTCCGCCCCGGTTCTCCACAAGGCGCGAGGGATGGGAGGGGGCGGCTAGAGAGTAGAGAGAGAGGACGGCAAACAAAATGGAGACTTACGCTCACGCTCTGGCAGCTTATTGCGCGTGCGCCATGGAAACGTCAGGCGGGGGCTGGCAAAGAGACAGCGGCGGCTCGCGTTTTGGGCAGCGCAGGCGCACTCACGCTAGAAGAGGACCAGGAAAAAAACCAAAAAATGACCGTCGACCCTTTCTTGCTGCTTCGGCAATGCGCGTGCGCAAAAGCTTGCGCGCGTTTTTGCCTGTTACCTCCTTGGTCCGTCCCCAAGTGAGAACCGTGATTGATTGATTGTATCTGAAGAAGTGTGCATGCACACGAAAGCTTATACCAAGAACAAACTTAGTTGGTCTCTAAGGTGTTACTGGACTCTCTCTCTCTCTATATATATATAGATTGAAGAGTGATTTCCCCTCCTTTCTGTTGGTGGTGAACATGATATCATTATAAATAACATTTTTTATTATTATTACATTTATATCCCGCCTTTCCCCAAGGAGCTCAAGGTGGTATACATAGTTCTCCTTCCTCCGTTTTATTCTCACAACAACCCTGTGAGGTTGGTTAGGCGGAGAGACTGACTAGCCCAAGGTCAGCCAGGGAGCTTCATGGTCAAGTTAGGAAAAGGAGCCCCATTCCCCAAGTCTTAGTATAGCACTCAATAACTGCTATGCAACACTGCCTCTCCAGTGGATGTATTACAAATGGAGATTGATGACTCAATTGTTTGCAGAAGATACTTCCTGGTTCTTGTTCACATGCACAGACACACACATATCACACATATATAAATGCATGAACAATACACACACAAACACTTCATGGGGTGGAAGTGACAGCAGTCTATGACTGAAATGTCCATCACTGTAGCTGTGATTGGACAGCAGCCTGTACCTTCCCCTTACCTAGAAAATGCAAATCCAAAGACAGAAGTTTGTATAAAAGATAGATGTTATTACATACAGTAGTACATTTTTAAACATTGTCATTCAAAGGCACATACAGTCCCTTGGCATTGTCCACAAGGGAGGGCATGGTTGGGAGACTTTTACAATGGTCCCTGCAATGTAGTCCAGTGCTATTTTCCATGGGGAAGAAGGTGGTGTGGAGAAGCGAATAGAGAGCAAAGCTGTTAGAGAGCAATGTTAACAATACTAGTGTATTCCAATAGGGAAGGTAGAATAGGAGTGATTATTTGTGTGAGAGAGAGGCCTGTGAGGTCTCTTCAGTTATGGTACTCAAAAAAACAAAAACAAAACACTGGCTCAGAATTCTTTAATTCTAAGCATTTATTTTTATTTTTGCACCTTGCTTCTGTTGGTAAATCTCAGGCTTTGGGTAAAAACAAAGTGGATTCCACAAGCCTGAAGCCTTTCTTCCCTGGTCTGTAGCTTACTTCTGAGTAGACCTGTTAGTCTTTCATCATGGCATGCACACACAAGAGAACAAGAACTAAAATCATTCAGACTAACCGGGATCCACACAGTTCTCTCAATTTTCTTAATCATTTAGCCACCCTGCTTATAGAGCAATCATAATCCTATTTAGCTAGATGTAGGAAGATGTGTATTTAGGATTCTAACCAGTCCTTTTTTTCTATTAAAAAATGTTTAGGGGTACTCTCATTTTGACTCAAGAAAATCACCATTTTATAGTTCAAATCAGGAAAAATAAATGCGGTAAATGGACAAAAGTACAAAGATTCACAAAATGTTTAGGGGTATGCGTACCCCTGCATCCCCCCCAGAAAAAAGCACTGATTCTAACCTTAGAGGCCAGGTGGAACCACTGCAGTGACAGGAATTTTGGGGTGCAGATCCATACAGCTCCCTGCTCACTGCAATTTGCTGGATGGAACAATAACGTCTCTGTCCCTCTGCTTAACCTGCCAAGCAACACTGGGTTTTATTTTTGTTATCATATTATATTTTTGCAATAATGTTCTTCAGAATGTTCACTTTGTAAAACTTATTTTTTTCCATCCCACTCCCCAGAGGTTACATATTGCATAATTTATAACAGCTAGATTTGCAAGAAAGGCAGATTAAGGGATGGGATGCTGCTAGAATGGAAGAGTGTGTTTACCGGAGACAAATTTAGTACTCCGCTGTTAAGCAAGGAAAACAAATGCAAACACACGTAGCAAAATATGATGCATATTTACAGAGAATCTGTTCCCAACATTCAACAGACCACGACAGGATTCTCTGGAACAGAAGCAGAGCTGGGATTTTGGAAGGAACGTACTGTTGCACTCCACTCCTATCTCCGAATGGTGTGAGATTCCAGGGGTTCCAGGCGGCTTGCCCACGTTCCGGGCTTCCTTTTGGAAATGAGGCAAAGTGGAGACTGTGGCGTCTTTAGGATATATGGTTTATTTACACAAATATACAACCTGAGCCTATTGGTGGAGGGGTTTGCAGCATTAACACCCCAAGAGGGTCTTGCTTCTCCCAGAGGCACAGCTCTGGATTCAACGAGATGTCAGCGAATTCAATTCTTGACTACTTTAAACTCTCCCTTTATCTAACTCATTCTGAGTTAAGGGAGGGGCCCCTCCCATTTGCCATCTGGCACTGAGCCCTCCTCTCTTCGACTTTCCTTATGGCTCATTACCTTCCCTTTGTTCTCTAAATGGCTCATCTCCCAGGCCATTACCCCATCGGGAAACTGACCAGGCTTATATTTCAACATTTGCCTTGATTAAATTCTGATCCCCCTGCTGGACCCAGAAATGTAGAGGAGTCTGGTACCCACAAACTCATAACAACACTTTCTTAGCTATTAACTGCTGCCATTTTTAGTGGGGTCTATACACTCCCTCCCCTTCAAAAATATAAAGGCTTACAGTGTAATCCTAGGGGTGCCTACTCTGAAATAAGTCCCACTGTGTTTGGAGGGGATGGCAGCCTGGGCCTCCCTTGCTTCTGCCTTCCCTCAAGTCACACAGATCTTTCTTAAACAGGGAAGGTGGGAAAGGGGCCTGCCCCCAACAATTTCTGCAGACTGTTGGTGGTTCTTGTAAGGGAGTTGATGGTTTGGCTTTCTCCTTGTCTGGGCATCCTGGCTTCTACCATCCCTTAGGTCACACAGATATTTCTTAGGTAGTCCCAGGGAAGGTGGGGAAGGAGCTCCCGCAACAGTCACAGGCTGTGTGGTTCTTTCAGGTGCCACCAATGACTTGCTATTATTTCATTATTGCTACTGTTCACTCATATGTACCCTTTTGACCAACGAAAGGGAAAGTGGCTCAGAAAGGAATAACAAACACTTTCAAGTACAAAAAAGGCAACTTAACAAAAATTTAAAGACAAGGTTGGCAGTTTGAATCCGCACAACAGGGTGAGCTCCCGTTGCTCTGTCCCAGCTTCTGCCAACCTAGCAGTTTAAAAGCACACCAGCACAAGGAGATAAATAGGTACCGCTGCAGCAGGAAGGTAAATGGTGTTTCTGTGCGCTCTGCCTTCAGTCACGGGGTTTTGTTGCACCAGAAGCTGTTTTGTCATTCTGGCCACATGACCTGGAAAGCCGCCTCTCTTGACCTGAAAAGCGTGATGACCGCCGCACCCCATGGTCATCTTTGACTGGACTTAACTGTCCAGGGGTCCTTTACCTTTACCAATATTTCAATAAATCTATGCCCAATGCATTCATGTTCCTGAAAAAAGGCAAAGGGCCAGTCCCCACAAAGATGTCAGAGAGAACAAAATGTAAATCTTTAGGCAGCAGCTCCCAAGTGCACTGAAGGGTGGGGCAAGGCAAGTGGAAAACTTTACCCCTTGATAGTTGCAGCAATATGTGTGCTCTCTGGTCTGGGCATCCCGTCTTTTAACACATTGCCATTCCCCCTGTCCTTGACCTTTCCTTTCCACTGCTTTCTGAAAGTGGGTGGTTTGGGCCCCTTGCCCAGTCCAAACCACTTCATCAGTAGTAGCACCAGTTCCCCATCACCGCTCCTTTATGCAGTCATCATTACTAGAGATGCTATACCCCACTCATTTCCCACGAATGTATCCTGAGCGCATCCACAAATGGCTCTGTGTGTGTTCATTAAGAGCACCACTTCCTTTCCCCTCCCCACAAGCTTTCCTCTTCATTTGTTCTGCGGCTGCTGACCACAAAACTGCGGTCTCTCGCTGTAGTCACTCTTCTGTACACATGGAAATGAATGGTCTCTAAACAACATAGAAGGCAAAAGCAGCAGTGTTGGTCTAAAAGAAGAAGAAGAATTTCACAACCCACAGTTCTACAAATATCTTTATAAGATAAAGATGGAATCTTAATTGTATGTTCGTGCTAGAAGGTACCGTATTTTTTATTAGAACCAACGAAAATATCACAAAATTGGAAGTGAGTCGACAAGCTGACTTCATGGGACCACCGGTGTTAAATTTACGGCTTGTAATGCCTTAAGAGAAAACATTATGAAAATGATCTATAGGTGGTACATGACTCCTGCTAAGTTAGCGAAGATCTACCATTTGCCCAATAATAAGTGTTGGAAGTGTAATGAAACGGAGGGAACCTTCTATCACCTTGGTGGACCTGCCCGAAGATTAAGGCTTTCTGGGAAATGATCTATAATGAAATTAAGAAAGTTCTTAAGAGAACCTTTACTAAGAAACCAGAAGCTTTTCTCTTGGGTATGGTGGGCGAAATGGTGCCAAAGAAGGACAAGACATTTTTTATGTATGCCACAACAGAAGCAAGAATTCTTCTAGCAAAGTATTGGAAGACACAAGAACTACCCACGTTGGAAGAATGGCAGACGAAGGTGATCGACTATATGGGACTGGCAGAAATAACTGGCAGAATTCGAGACCGGGGGAAGGAGGCGGTGGAAGAAGATTGGAATAAATTTAAAGTATACCTTAAAAATTGTTGTAATTTGGATGAAAACTAGGAGGTCAGGGAGATAAGAGACAAAGAACTACAGCTGTTTTAAAAAAAAAGTTAAAGTTAAATTTACGAAACGCAGAATATGTCTATGACTAAAGGGTTGCTGGAAAAAACCTAGAATCATAGAATAGAATCATAGAGTTGGAAGAGACCACAAGGGCCATCGAGTCCAACCCCCTGCCAAGCAGGGTGCAGAATAAGGATGCCAATAAGGATGCAGAAAAGGGGTGGTATGGGGAGGTCCATTTTATGTTTGTTTATGTTTTTGTTGTGTTTTTTT